ATGTTCCGTCTCTCTGTTGCCCAGGCCGGAGTGCAGTGACGCGATCTCGGCTCACTGCAACCTCTGCCTCCTGGGTTCAAGCAGTTTTCTGCCTCAGCCTCCCGAGTAGCTGGAATCACAGGTGTTCACCACCATGCCTGGCTAATTCTTTTATATTTTTAGTAGAGACGGGGTTTCACCATCTTGGCCAGGCTGGATCTTTTCTTCTTTTCTTTTTTTTTGAGACGGAGTCTTGACCTGTTGCCCAGGCTGGAATGCAGTGGCGCAATCTCGGCTCACTGCAAGCTCCACCTCCCAGATTCATATCATTCTCCTGCCTCAGCCTCCTGAGTAGCTGGGACTACAGGCGCCTGCCACCATGCCTGGCTAATTTTTTTGTATTTTTAGTAGAGACGGGGTTTCGTTGTGTTAGCCAGATGGTCTCAATCTCCTGACCTCGTGATCTGCCCGCCTCAACCTCCCAAAGTGCTAGGATTACAGGTGTGAGTCACTGTGCCCAGCTTTTTTTTTTCAATTAGCCAGGTATGGTGGCACATGCCTGTAGTCCCAGCTACTCAGGAGGCTGAGGTGGGAGGCTCACTTGAGCCTGGGAGGCTGAGGCTGTAGTAAGCCATGATCTCACCACTGCCCTTCAGCCTGGCGATAGAGCGAGACCCTGCCTCAAAACAAAAAAAATGATAAAGAATCCAAGGAATTTCTGAGATTCATTTGGTCATTCAACAATGGGCTAGGTTTGGGGATGCAGTAATAAATGAGACAGACACAATCCCTGCCCCTCTGGACTTTGTGGTTGGTCTAGTTAGTCTTAATCATGCCACTTTCTGAATATATGAGCAAACGCAAATAATTAAACATCTCCGAACCTGTGTTTCATTTGTAAAAATGGGTCAGTAATAATCCCCCCTTGACATGGCTATTGTGGGGAATTAAATGAAAACTTACATGTAAAGGTACTTAATAAATTCTGCAGTGCTATACAAATGTTAGTTAATACATTTTTTCCCAAGAAGCTTTTCATGATAATAACTTAATACATTTTTTCCCAAGAAGTTTTTCATGGTAATAAGTTACTATTGTCTTCACCCAGTGTGAAGTAACCAGTAATAAATAACAGTAACCAGTAATAAATACCAAGAAATGGAATAAATCACTCTCAGAAAGGCCAAAGAAAGAGCTATGGATGTGCAATACAGGTTTCTGCTCCCAGTAGTACCACTAACTGGCTGGTTGACCTCATGAATGTCACTTTCCCTTCAGTGTTTTAGTTTCCTAATTTGTTTAAAAAAAAAAAAAACCGTCTGGGCTGTGGGCCCTGCTAGTTTGCCATCATAGAGATTCCCCTGGGGGCTTGTCCTCTAGCCCCCGCTGTCCCCACAGCCTTGGCACTCCCACTCAAGTTGCACAGCACAATTGTTCTTTGCAAGGCTGGGCACAGTGGCTCACACCTGTAATCCCCGCACTTTGGGAGGTTGAGGCATGCAGATCACCTGAGTTCAGGTTTCAAGATCAGCCTAGCCAACATGGTGAAACACCATCTCTACTAAAAATACAAAAATTAGCCAAGCGTGGTGGCGCACGCCTGTACTCCCAGCTACTTGGGAGGCTGAGGCAGGAGAATCACTTGAACCTGGGAGGCAGAGGTGGCAGTGAGCTGAGATTGTGCCACTGTGCTCCAGCCTGGGCAACAGAACAAGACTCTAAGAAAAAAGAATTGTTGTTTTCAGAGGTCAACTGGAAAGCAAGGGACATTTTTGGCAACCACCACTCATCCCTTCCTACATATACTCAATGATCTTGGACATCAAAGGTTCAAGACATTGGGGGTTTGGAGGGGGTTCGAAGGGAAGAAGCCAAGAGATGGCCTGTGCCTGCGGGGCCAGATTGCCTCGTGAAGCAGGAAGCGCATCATCGATGGAAAAGTGATGGGTGGGCAGGCAGGAGCTTTGTTCTGTGGCTTCCCCAAGAATCCATGCCCTTCCGGATCCAAGGAGGCTGGCTCAGACAGCACTGACTCGGGGCCCCCAGTTACTGTGCCTAGCTGCAGGAAGGAGGTGAGGGGTAAGAAAACAGGAAAAAGCAAGAGAGAGTAGCCACAGTTTTCATGAAGAAAAGGAGAAGGAGCCAGGTGCGGTGGCTCACACTTGTAATCCTAGCACTTTGGGAGGCTGAGGCAGGTGGATCACTTGTCAGGAATTCGAGATCAGCCTGGCCAACATGGTGAAGGCCCCGTCTCCACTAAAAAATACAAAAAAAAAAAAAAAAAAATTAGCCGACCATGGTGGCACATGCCTGTAGTCCCAGCTACTCAGGAAGCTGAAGCAGGAGAATCGCTTGAACCCAGGAGGCAGAGGTTGCAGTGAGCCGAGATCACGCCACTGCACTCCAGCTGGGTGGACAAAGAAAGAATCTATCTCAAAAAAAAAAAAAAAAAAAAAAAAAGGTAGAACTTAGAATGACAAAATGAAGGTTTAAGAAGTAGAGGCAAAACTGTGTTCACTGTCTTCTCCATGCCCGCCTCTCTCCCGCCACCATTGCCGCTGTGCTTGTCGACTTTGTGGTTCAGAAGGAGGCCTGGGTTGTGGGGACGGACACCTGGGTGGAGTCTCCAGCTCTGTCACAAACAACACCACTGTGGTTCTAGGGAAGTCCCTTGACCCCTCTGCAAGGAGGCTTTGTTATAGTCCCTGAGGCTGAGTAATGGTGATGGTGGTGGTTTGGGTGGGCAATGTAGGGGAGTCAGAGCTCTGGGTGTAAGTCTCTGAGTGAGCTGCTTTGTGACCTTGGGTGAGTCTCAGTGTCTGCATCTGTGAAATGGGGATAAGAATATTCACCTTACATGGCTGTGGGGAAGATTCATTCAGATAAAGCACATGAAAAGCACTTTATAAGCTGCCTCAGTCTGTACAAAGACCGATTACGGTATTATTAGGCTGTCTTTCCTATCCTCGGCATCCC